CACTCTGATTTTACCACTAGAGCACCTGAAGGCTCATGTATGTGCAAGCTGGAGATACACTGTATGTATCTCCAGCCCATGCAGCCAGACCTGTTTCATATCCCTCAGGAAGATGCAGGGCTTTATCGTCTTACCTCAGCTTCTTAGGGTGTGGGTCCCACAGCAGCGGTGCAACCCCAGGAGCTTGTGGGCAGGTAGCCTCAGCCCCACCCAGACCTGCTGAGGCAGAGCCTTGGTTTCACGAGTCCCTGGCTGACCCCTGTGCATAGTCAAGTTTGAGAAGGGCAGCTCCCCTGTTCGGGTCTAGCCCATCACTTGCATTTCTTAGGACTTTCATGGTCTCCATCTCTAAGGCAGTGGCAGCTTCCGAGCTGCCCTCTGTTCTGTACAGTCCTGGACTGTATTCACATCGGGGCGGGGCGGGAGGGGCTCCGTCCCTCTATTCTTTGCCGGATTCACTCCTAGACCACCTGTTTAATACGAGTGTTGGGGCTTGGGCACGGTTCCGTGTGCCATTTCCTGTGCCGTGTGCATGTGGGGTAAGTTATCCTACAATGTTGTTCAACCCTCTCTGGTAACCCGGATGCCTGGCTCTGTCTCTGTCCCCAGGTGGACCCCTCGACCTCATGGCTTGCAGAGTGGTTGCTGCCAGCACCCGGGAGATGGCGATGCTCATAGCTCAGGCCTTACAGACGATTAACTATGGGCGGGATGATGAGAAGTGACCGTGGCTGAGGCAGAGCTGCTCTCGAGGCCTCCCTGGGCTGCTGTGGGCTCCTGGGGAGGTGGCCCTCCTGGCCCACGCTCCATGCCAGTGGCTCACACTCTGCTCCTGGCTACCCCAGAGGGAGCTGTCACGCTACAGTGAGTGGCTGGCCTTTTAAATCCACGTCTCTCTCACCAGGATTTGGTGTTTAGCTGTTTCTCTCTTTAATTTCACGTAGCCTTTTTCAGGTTAGTACGTGTTCCTCTGTCAGGGCCAAAACCCAGATCTCCTGTGAAATACGTATTGATAATCCAATCTTGATTTTTTTCCCCCCAGAATATAAATCTCAGGTAATAAGGCTTTAGAACTGCTGATAAAGCGGATCGTTCTCAGGCCCTCCCCCCAGGGTACTTCAGAATGCAATAAATCAAAATAATGGCGCTATGTGTATCTGTTTCCTATATAAGCGTGTCGCCTGATTCCCAAACAACTCTGGCTCTCATCCACTGCTGTGGATCTGTGCTCTCAGGAAGCTTTGCGAATGAAACCCAAAGTCCAGTGTGTGCCAACTGCTGCCTCTGATGAACACCCTGAAGGTGACCCCAGTAATATCATGTGAGTGTTCAGAACCCAAGACATGGGACAGACAGAAGGAAACTAATCTCTGAAAGCTGCTGTTTCTGTGATCAGCTTTTTTTTATTTTTGTTCGAGTCGGGGTCTTGCTCTATCTCCCAGCCTAGAGCGCAGTGGTGTGATTACAGCTCACTGTAGTCTTGACCTCAGGACTCAAGCGATCCCCCTGCCTTAGCCTTCTGAGTTGGGACCACAGGCATGCACTACCATGCCAGGCTAAGTTTTAAAAAGTTTTCAGTAGAGATGGGGTCTCACTGTGTTGCCCAGGCTGGTCTCAAGCTCCTGGGCTCAAGTGATCCTCTCACCTCAGCCTTCCAAAGTGCTGGGATTGAATCACCACACCTGGCCCACCAGTGATCAAAGAGGGTCTTACTTGTTTCTCTTTAGGAGGCAGAATTGTATGTCAGAGTAATTCTAATGAGGCTATTAACTGGCTGGCCAGGTATCTTTCCTGAGGTTTAAGAATTGAGAAAGTCTTGGCCAGGTGCAGTGGCTCACATCCGTAATTCCAGCACT